CCAGAAGGGGAAGCAGATGTATTTGGTTTTCTCCTCAGTCTTTCTGTGATTCTGCAAGTTGAGCAATATCTACGTATGAAAATGACTTTGACTGTTTATTTCATTCCTCTACACTAGATGTTTTTTGTTGTTTTGTTTGTTGAGCTAAGATCTCCCTCTGTCACTGGAGCGCAGTGACGTGATCACAGCTCACTGCAACCTTGACTTCCTGAGCTCAAGCGATCCTCCACTTCAGCTTCCTGAGTAGCTATAACCACAGGTGCACGCCACCATGCCCGGCAAAAAAAAAAAAAAAAAAAAAATAGGTAGATACAGTGTCTTACTATGTTGCCTAGGCTGGTCTTGAACTCCTGGCCTCCTAGTTTTAGCCTTTTTCACAGAGTTTGTGTTTCCCTGACACTTTTCGCTCCCTGAGATCAGGACGTGATTATGTGCCTGACTTTATTTTGCTTATTACAGATTTGTTTTCAGGCCTATGCCAGCCACATCTCTCCAAGCTCTATTTTTTTTCAGTTCCACAAAGCAAAATGTGACTGACAAAATGATGTGCAGACAAGCAAACACAGAGTCGGGGTGACTCATATAAATATATTTCCGTTTTTAAATAGTAGGAATGCTGCCCTTTTTTTCTTGCCCCCTTTGCTCCCTGATTTACACAGTGCAGTTTGGTTTTTAAGACATGTTTTTTAGTGTAGTTTTAGGTTCACAGCAAAATTGAGCAGAAAGTGTTAATATTTCCCACGTCCCTACGCCCTGCATAGTCTCCACTATCAATATCCCCTACCAGAGTGGTGCATTCTTCACAATCAATGAACCTTCATTGACATATTATCACCCAGAGTCCATAGTGTACACCAGAGTTCATTCACTCTAGGTGTTGCACATTATACGGGTTTCAGCAACTTCATAATGACATACATCTGCCATCGTAGCATCAGAAAGACGAGTTCCACTGCCCTAAAAATCCCCTTTGCTCTGCTTGTTACACAGGGCAGTTGCTGAGACAAAGCTTCAGGTACTCAGAAATTTTTTTTCTCATGTCTTCATTTTTTTAACATAGTGGAGATTTTCGCTTTGATATAGCTGATCATGTGTTAGGTAAGGAGGATAGCTCAGAGCCTCAATGCCTAAATGAAGGGACCTCAAGTGTATCAGCTCCTAAAAGGGGGACCTTTAGTGCATACAGAATCCCGATGGTGATAAATCAGTCCTTCATCTCTTCTGCACTTTTCCAGCCCTTTGGTTCTCAGGAAACTGCTATCTCTACTGTTGAGGGCACATTTCCAATCCATATGGGCATGTTCCAAGTTTTTTTGTTCGCTTTTAGGCATTGTATTCTTTTTCAGTTTTTTAAAAATAGTGTTTTTTGACACGAGGTCTTGGACTAGTTTCTCAGGTTGGAGTACAGTAGCATGATAATAGCTCACTGAAGCCTCGAGCTCCTGGGGTCAAATGATCCTCCCTCAGACTCCAGAGTAGCTTGGACTACAGGTGTGCACCACCATGCCTGGCCTGGCCTTTTTTAAAATTTTTTTTTCTGTAAAGACGAGGGTCTCACTATGTTGCCCAGGCTAGTCTCAAGCAACTCCTGGCCTCAAGCAATCCTCCCACCTCAGCCTACCAAAGTGCTGAGATTACAGATGTGAGCCACTGTGCCCAGCTGTTCCAAAGCTTTAAAGCAGTTTTAAATTAATGGTTAAAATTTAGAAGATGCTGTGAATATTGTTTTGCACTTGTGTAAACACATGAAAGAGAAGATAAAAGATTTCAGTGAAATGAAAAGCGACAGTAGCGAGAACCTAATAATACCAGCATGTGAATTTACAGTGAGCAAAATGCAGTAAGAGAAATTGAAAAGTTTCTACTCTCAAATGGTGTGATAAATTGATGTATGGATGGCATACATAATGCTGAAGAGGTTTTGTGTAATTAACTGTTAAATACCAGCTTCTCTACCTGGGCTGATGAGTCAACAGATTTCACTAATAATTTTTATGCTATAGCATTTGTAAGATTAATAAATGATGATAAATTCAAGAAAACTTCTGCTTCAAGGGGTTATCCTAAAGAAGGAAAGACAAGATGTATTTAGTAACTTGTTCTGCATATTTGGAAACAAAGGCCTGTGTTGGGTCTTCTGTTGGCATTTAGACTGATGGGACCACATCAGTGGTTGACTCCATGAAAGATTTCACTTCAAAAAAAGTGTAGTCAGTGCAGTGGCTTATGCCTGTAATCCCAACAGTTTGGGAGGCCCAGGTGGGAGAATTGCTTGAGCCAGAAGTTTGAGACTAGCCTGGGCAGCATGGCGAGACTCTATATTTACAAAAAAAAAAAAATTAAAATTCACTGGGCATGGTGGCATGCTCTGTGGTCCTAGTTACTCGAGAGGCTGAGGTGGGAGGATTGCTTGAGCCTGGGAGATCAAGGTTGCAGCAGTGAGCCATGATCATGCCACTGCACTCCAGCCTGGGTGACAAAGCAAGACTTTATCTCAAAAAGAAGAAGAAGAAGAAGAAGAAGAAGAAGAAGAAGAAAGAAGAAGAAGAAGAAGAAGAAGAAGAAAGAAGAAAAAAGGAGAAGGAGAAGAGAAGGAGAAGAGAAGGAGAAGAGAAGGAAAGGAGAAGAGAAGGAGAAGAGAAGGAAAGGAAAGAGAAGAGAAGGAGAAGGAGAAGGAGAAGGAGAAGGAGAAGGAGAAGGAGAAGGAGAAAAGAAAAGGAAAATCCCAATGTTCTCACAACATAATGCTTTCTTTAAAGAAAAGGGCTGGTATCAAAACTTATGCCACAAAAATAGTTAAGTTTAATTCATTTCAGAACGCTTTAAAAACAGTATGAAATGTGGACAAAGACCCCACAGACAAAACAGAAAAAAAACTGCTCTTGCACATACCATATACCACACACTATACCTCATTAACACCTTGTAGAGCAGGATTTTGGTAAGACTTTTGAGCCCACTTGGATAAGGTTTAAAAGGAGAGTAAGAAATTGAAAAAAAAGAAAAGAAAACCAAAGTTTCTTCTATCTGCATCCTGATTTGCATTAGAGTCATTTCCTTTGTAGGGAAGGGAAACCACACAAAAAACATAGGCTAGTAAGGTCATTCAGGTTGACAGCAGAGCCTGGGGTGGAGAGAAATTCCTTAACAAAAGAGGAGACATGGCCTGGCGTCAGTGACTTCATGTGTAAAACAGAGCATATAGTGTTAACACGAGTGACTTTTGATAACTCTTCAGACTAAAAGATCCTTAAGGGCAAAGGAATTTGCATCCCTGGTACCTACTGGTGGGCCTGATACTCAATAAATGCTTAATGATTGACAAAGGGATGGATGGATGGATGATGGATTGGATGGATGATGGGTGGGTGGGTGGATGGATGGATGGATGGATGGATGGATGGATGAATGGGTGGATGGATGGATGGATGGATGTGTGATAGGCTGGTGGATGGCTGATTGGATGGATGGATGATGTGTGGGTGGTGGACAGATGGATGGATGATGGGTGAGTTGGTGGGTAGATGGATGGATGATGGGTGGGTGGATGGATGGATGGGTGGATGATGGGTGGGTTAATGGATAGATCTGGATGATTGGTGGGTGGATGGGTGGATGGATGGCTGATGGGTGGGTGGATGGGTAGATGGATACTGGGTGGGTGGATGGATGGATGAATAATGGGTTGGTGGATGACTAGACAGATGGATGATGGGTGGGTAGGTGGGTGGATGGATGGATGGGTAGAAGGGTGAATGGGTAGATGGATGGAGATGTGGGGGGATGGATGGGGTGGGATGGGGGGTGGATGGATGATGGGTGGGTGGGTGGATGGATGGATGGGTAGAAGGGTGAATGGGTAGATGGATGGATGATGTGTGGGTGGGTGGATGGATGGGTGGATGATGGATGGGTAGATGGATGGATGATGGGTGGGGGGGAGGATGGATGGATAATGGGTGGGTGGGTGGGAGGATGGATGGATGGGTAGATGGGTGAATGGGTAGATGGATGGATGGATGGATGAATGATGGGTGGGTGGATGGATGGATGGGTAGAAGGGCGAATGGGTAGATGGATAGATGGATGAATGATAGGTGGGTGGATGGATGATGGGTAGATAGATGGATGGATGAATAATGAGTTGGTGGATGGATAGACAGATGGATGACGGGTGGGTGGGTGGATGGATGGATGGGTAGAAAGGTGAATGGGTAGATGGATGGATGGATGAATGACGGGTGGGTGGATGGATGGATGGGTGGATGATGGGTGGGTTAATGGATAGATGGACGATGGGTAGATGATGGGTGGGTGGATAGATGGATGGATGATGGGTGGGTGGATGGATAGACAGATGGATGAGGGGTGGGTGGGTGGATGGATGGATGGGTAGAAGGGTGAATTGGTAGATGGATGGATGAATGACGGGTAGGTGGATGGATGGATGGATGGGTAGATGGATGGATGGTGGGCGAGTGGATGGATGGATAGATGTGTGGGTAGATGGATGAATGACGGGCAGGTGAATGGGTGGATGGATAGATGATGAATGAATAAATGAACAAACGAACCACTGAGTTTGAAAATATCTTAGATAGAAATATAGGCTCACAATATTTGCTGGGAAACATTCAACAACCAAACACCTTCTTAAAATGCACCTCTTCTACTCAATTACCTCGGAAATGAAGCACTTTGAAAACAGATAGACTCTGAAGTCACACAACCCTAAGTACCTGGCTCTATGTGACCTTGTGCAAGTGATTTAGCTACGCTAAGTCAAAGTTTCTATAAAACTGGGCAATGTTAGGGTGCCGCCTCTGAGGGAAAAGGCCAATGAAACAATATTCCAAGAACATCCATGGATGGCAGTCATTATTTTGGTGAATTTACTATGGACAGGGCCTGACTCTCCGTCTAACCGTAATATACTTCATTTCATCAGTACACGGGGAGGGAAGCCATTTCCCAGATACAGACCCAGAAAGGCAGATAGATAAACTAGAATGCTAATTTATTAGTTTATCAGGGGAAATTATTTGGAGAATCAAAGTAACTAGCACATTTTCTCTCTGTTTGCAGCTATAATTGGGAAGTAAAACCACAATTAGAAAGTTGCTCAAGGTCAGGCAAAGAGACTTGGGCAACATCTTGCATGTAGTGATGGGACAGTCATTGGGAAACACTTGAAAGAAAGTCCTTGGTGGTCACTGACAAGATTTGTCTCTGTCTTCTTGAGTGAGTTTGTACTTCTTTACTTTTTTTTACTATATATTTGTGCTTTAGGGGGTATCTTATTTTCCTTGCTCCCAATTTTTTAAGGAAAGGCTTACCACAGCCCCTGAAATATTAACAATAAAGAGAGACAGGGTCTCTCTCTGTTGCCCAGACTGGAGTGAAGTGGTGCGATCACAGCTCATTGGAGCCTCAAACTCCCAGGCTCAAGTTTTCCTTCCACTCCAGCCTCCCAAATACCTGGGACTACAGGTATGTATCACTATGCCCAGCTAATTTTTTAGTTTTTTCTGTAGAGGCAGGGTCTCACTGCGTTGCCCAGGCTGCCTAAGCTGGTCTCAAAACTGCTGGCTTCAGGCGATCCTCCTGCCTTGGCCTTCCCCATCAGTGTAGTCTGCATATCAGCTGAAGGGTCTCTCTGCCCCTCAAGATCTGAGTCAGATGGCTTAACTCCCCAATCTCGTAGCCTGTGAAAGTCCAAAGCCTATTCCAGATTTCAGTGAATCCTTGGGAGATTTGCGTTCTCATGGCTTCCTTTTCCTCCCTTGTGGTCTCTGCTCAGCATTATGTCAATCCGGAGATGAATCATAGCTTCTTTAGCAGTTTCTACCAAAATAAAAAGCCAAAAAAAAGTCACTTGCACAAAACATTTATGAATAAACTTTTCTAAAGAACTCAGGAAGGCCAGATGCAGTGATTTACACCTGTAATGCCAGCACTTTGGGAGGCTGAGGTGAGAGGATTGCTTGAAGCCAAGGGTTTGAGACCAATCTGAGAAACCTGGGCAACATAGTGAGATGCTGTTTTTACCAGAAAAAAATTAAAATTAAAATTAACTGGGTGCAGTGGTGCATGCCTGTAGCCCCAGTTACTTGGGAGGCTGGAGCAGGAGGATTGGCTGAGCCCAGGAATATGAGTTTCTAGTGAGCTTTGATCACAACACTGCACTCCAGCCTGAGCAACAGAAGCAAGACCCTGTCTCAAAAAAGAAAAAGAAAAAGAAATTAAGAACTGAGAAGTAAAAGGAGGTCACAGGAAGGATTCACATGGACATGATACAGCAAGATGTTTAAAATCCACACTAGACATTCCTATTCTTCAAAAATTCCTTCAGACCACCCTGACACCAAGAGTTCTTGTCCTGACTCTTCTCACCAGTACCCACTGATCTTACTTCCTCCCTGAACTTCTTTCCCCTCTCCTCTCCCTCCTCGGTTCTCTCTCTCACCCTTCCCTCTCCTTGACTCATGCCGAAACGTTCCGCCCCCTCTCTGGAACCTCCTCCACAGCTGGAATCCTCAGACCTGAGGATTTCACTCTCTAACACTGACCAAAGGTGTTTTTCAAAGACTGTTCCTTTCTAAGATGAATTTGGGGGCCATGAATTTTTTTAAGTAGCCAAGAGTATTCCTTGCCTGAGTGTAGTGCCTGGGATATAGGTTCAACAGGTAATCTATCCACTCTTGTTCCTCTCTCTTTATGCAATACATTGTTGATCAACAATAATCACAACATGATTGTGTTGTTTCTACTCCTCTCCACATTCCTATGTGGGTTAAGAGGACATCCTCAAAGAAAATTATCTGGCAACTGTATTTTCCCCATAGCTGTAGGCTTGCAAAGACTGTCTGATGCCAAATACTAGTTTCCTGATTTACTGGCCTTGTGATCTTGTGCAAATTGCTTAACCTCTCTGTTTTCAGTTTCTCGGTCTATAAAAATGGGGTGGTAGATCAGCTCACAGACTTCTTGGGAGGATTAAATTCACCTATGTAAAATGCTTAGTACATAATAAGGGCTCAATAAATATCAGCTGCTACTTTTTTTTAGTTTCTTTCTTCTGGAATAGTGTGATTTTATCAATCTAAACATCAGAGATTTAGTCTTTGCACTTTAATGAAGCCAACCTTGTGCTGGAGACTAGATTCTATCTTGGAGTGGCAAGGTCAGGGCTCCACTTGCTGGTAGCCTGGGCTGCAGAGGATAATCAGCTGTTAGCTCGCCTGGGCTGCAGAGGATAATCAGGTGTTAGCTCACCTGGGGCCTGCATTCAGAGATAGAGCGAGAAGTGGGGACATGATGAGAATATAATCCAACCCACAGTAGCCTAAACTGGGAGAGACACTAACTACCCTGTGTCTAGTTCATTTCCAGGCCGACTCAGAAGCCTGGGGAGTCCTAGGGCTGGCTGGCAGAGGATAATCTCACCCAGCTCCCACTAGATCTGTCCTAGATCTGATGTGAATCTCTCAGAGACCCTTCCAATGTCCCTGGTTTCCCAAGACGATGGGAAGAACTGAAATACCACAGATCCTCCCAGAGATGACAAGGGCTGGTCCCTACAGTCTAGAGCCCTAGAATGGACAGACTCCTTGATCAAGTGGCCAGAGTGGTCCATCTGGCTCAGGTTGTTCTCATGGCCATATTTGATTGCTGCATACCACCTGGCCCCATAACCCACTCATCCTCTGGAGTCTCCACCTCTCATAAGATCAAGGTGTTAGGACTGTTTGCTGTAGCCTCTGGAAAAATTAAGAATGGAGTGGGAGAGCCAGGCTTGGGTTGGGTGAACTCAGTATCTCCTAAGGTGGCCCTAGGTGAGGGGGAGGAAGAAGGAAATGGGCTGCTGGGCCGGATCCACAGGGCACATATTGAAGGGCAAGACTACGTGTGTCTTTCTATTTGCAGAAGTCAGAGTTGTTCCGGCCTAGACACGAGGAGGCTGGGCCATGCTGGAGGTTGAGGGTAGCAGGGAAGGAGATTATAGCCCACCTAAACACTACCAAAAGAGCATATAGCTATGCTAAATCATTTGGAATCCAGTCCCTCCTCCCTACATGAGTATATTATCCATGTGGCGCTTTAAGCTCTCCCTGCAGACCTGAGTCTCCCTTTCATGCCTTTGGGTTCCTGATTATCCACGCTGCTGTAGCTATGCTGGGTTGTGGGTAGAGGAGCAGGAAGCCTGTGTGCTTTGAGTCTCCATCCCTGGGGTTGACCATGGAACAGGTCATGCTCCGTGGTACATTTTGGCCCCTGCACCATCCATCACCCTGGTTCTCTTTGCAGAAGTATGTACCGAAACAGGAAGCGAGGCCACCTGGGAAGTGGAAGTCTCAGCCCAGCCCAGGGGAGTGAGCCCACAGACAGAAGAGTGACTACTAAGAAGCAGAAAGGGACCTGGGCACTCTTCGGATAAAGAGGACCCTGGTGACTCTGCCCCTTCCAGGGGGCTCAAGCCCCTGCCCAAGAGTCCAGTTTTATCATCTAGGGGGACATCTAGGGCTGGCAGGATCTTGCCATCTCTCCCTTGGCCCTGCGGTTTGAGGCAGGAGCCTTTCGGACATGGCCCATGCACCAGGCCCAACAATGCAGGTGTACCAAGCAGGGCTCTTCTCTAAGAGGCCTTTGGCTTGGAGAAGAGCCTGGGCCTAGCGGCTCCCAAGTTTTTACTTCTCTCAAAGTGCTACCCAGCTGCCTATAGCACATGGGTCCCTGTTGCATTAAATCTATAAATAAAACTTCACACCCCGGTACTTATCCTAGGCAGAGTCCTAGGCGTCGCACTCCTCACGGAAACCCGCCTTCCTGGGATGGGAGAATTTGGAAACGCTCCCTGAGCCAGTCCGGGGGAGCTTCCTTCCAGCTGGGTCTCCGCCCCTGCCCTGGTGGTGCGGGGTCCTCAGCGATCCGCGGGAGGTCCGGGCACGCCTGGTTGTGGGGAAATTCGGCCCCGTCAGGCGGCCGCGCTCACAGGAGCAGCGTGACCCGGCGGCCCTGGGGGTGCTGGCACCAGGAGCCGACACTCGCTGTGCGCTCCCCCGCGCCTGGCTTCCCTGGACTGTCGCCAGCCCTACTCCTCCTGAGGTGGCGAGGGCGGGGCGGAACGCGGCCTCTTCTGGCCTGAGGAGGCGTCACTTGGGAGGTCACTCGGCTGCTGGGCTGGCTGCTGTCACAAGCGGGGCGTGCCCTGGCTCCGCTCGCCACTCTCCGGCGCGCACCCCGGCTCACGGCACACACTCGCGCTCCCGGACTGAACCCTGAGCCGCCGCCGTAGCAGCCGAATTTGGGAGTATCTCCTTGTCACTGCAACCAGAAAGCCCCTCGATCCCCCATCAGAGAGGTCACATGAGCCCCGAGGTCACCTGCCCGTTGAGGGGCCACCTGCCTCGCTTCCACCCGAGGACCTGGGTTGAGCCCGTGGTGGCCTCGTCCCAGATGGCTGCCTCCCTGTACGACGCGGGGCTACTCCTCGTGGTGAAGGCGTCCTACGGAACCGGAGGCTCCTCCAACCACAGCGCCAGCCCGTCGCCCCGGGGGGCTCTAGAGGACCAACAGCAGAGAGCCATCTCCAATTTCTACATCATCTACAACCTCGTGGCGGGCCTGTCGCCCCTGCTGTTCGCCTACGGGCTGGGATGGCTCAGCGACCGCTACCACCGCAAGATCTCCATCTGCATGTCGCTGCTGGGCTTCCTGCTCTCCCGCCTCGGGCTGCTGCTCAAGGTGTTGCTGGACTGGCCAGTGGAGGTGCTGTACGGGGCGGCGGCGCTGAACGGGCTGTTCGGCGGCTTCTCCGCCTTCTGGTCCGGGGTCATGGCGCTGGGATCGCTGGGCTCCTCCGAGGGCCGCCGCTCCTTGCGCCTTATCCTTATTGACCTGATCCTGGGCTTGGCGGGGTTCTGCGGCAGCATGGCTTCCGGGCATCTCTTCAAGCAGATGGCTGGGCACTCTGGGCAGGGCCTGATACTGACGGCCTGCAGCGTGAGCTGTGCCTCGTTTGCTCTGCTCTACAGCCTTTTGGTGCTAAAGGTCCCTGAGTCGGTGGCCAAACCCAGCCAGGAGCTCCCCCCCGCGGATACCGTGTCTGGCACAGTAGGCACATACCGCACCCTGGATCCTGATCAGTTGGACAAACAGTGTGCAGTGGGTCACCCTCCATCTCCTGGAAAAGCAAAAGCCCATAAAACCACCATTGCCCTGCTCTTTGTGGGTGCTATCATATATGACCTGGCGGTGGTGGGCACAGTGGACGTGATCCCTCTTTTTGTGCTGAGGGAGCCTCTCAGTTGGAACCAAGTGCAGGTGGGCTATGGTATGGCTTCAGGGTACACCATCTTCATCACCAGCTTCCTGGGTGTCCTGGTCTTCTCCCGCTGCTTCCGGGACACCACCATGATCATGATTGGGATGGTGTCCTTTGGGTCAGGAGCCCTCCTTTTGGCTTTTGTGAAAGAGACATACATGTTCTATATTGGTGAGTCTATCATTCTTGGGGAGGCAGGACATTGCTGACCCTCTGCATAATGCGGCTGACACCAGGGATGCCATGGTCTGGGTGGCCTAGCTCAGCACCAGGGATTGAACCTGCTACCCAGGAGGCACAAGGGACACAAGATTATATGCCCCTGAGTTTATCTGTAATATATTGTTAATTATCTATATTGAGAATGAAATGTTACCAGAGTGGTGTTCATGGTTCTGGGCAGTCAAGGAGGTGTGGTCAGTGGTACCTGGAGTCAGCAGGGGAGGATTCAGGATGGCAGTCAACAGAGGAGATGGAGTTGGGTTTCTTCCTCCACCCCCCCCCTTTCCATTTTAAAGGGATGGAATTTCAAAGGTGGAGCACAGAGGTCTGTAATCCCAGCAATTTGGGCTGGAGGTGGGAGGATCACTTGAGGCCAGGAGTTCAAGACCAGCCTAGCCATTATGGCAAAACCCTATCTCTACCAAAAATATAAAAATTAGCCAGGTGTGGTGGTGTACACCTGTAATCCTAGCTACTCAGGAGGCTGAGGCACAAGAATCACTTGAACCCAAGATGCAGAGGTTGTAGTGAGCCGAGATTGTGCCACTGCACGCTAGCCTGGGTGATAGAGCGAGACTCTGTCTCAAAAACAAAACAAACAAAAAAAGGTGGATAGGTGGAATTTCAAGTAATTCTACTGAAAAGATGCCTTAATTAAAATCATTTGGAGTCAAGCAAGGGCTTTTTAAAAATGCGTAAAATTACTCGATAAATGCCTTCCACAACCAGTGTAATAAATTCCCCAAGGAAGCAGCATTAAGTTTCCATCTGAGGACACAGGTAGACAACTATAAGCAGAAAGCTCAAGATGAATGCTCCAATAGAACTTTCTAGAATGATGGAAATAGTTGCTATCCATTCTGTCCAATAAAGAAGCCACTGGCTCCATGTAGCTATTGAGCAGTTGAAATGTAGCTAGTGAAACTAAAGAACAGATTTTTAAATTTTATGTTATTTTATTTAATTTAAATAGTTATATGGGGCTAGTGGCTATCATATCAGAAAAACAACTTCAGACAGTTATCTGAGGCTGGCTCTTGACCCAGGCAGGTCACACATCTTAGAAACACCTAACAAAATGGTAAGCTAACCTCTGGTCAGTTCTCAATTAAACAGCATAGGACAGAGTATTCCCTTCCCCTTTTGCCCACCACCTCTCTCTCTCTGTTTCTCTTTGTGTTTTTGTTTCGTTTTGTTTTGTTTTGTTTTTGAGATGGAGTTTCACTCTTGTTGCCCAGGTTGGAGTACGATGGTGCAATCTCGGCTCAATGCAACTTCCACCTCCTGGGTTCAAGCGATTCCCCTGCCTCAGCCTCCTGAGTAGCTGGGATTACAGGCATGCACCACCATGCCTGGCTAATTTTGTCTTTTTGGTAGAGACAGGGTTTCACCATATTGTTCGGGCTGGTCTCAAACTCCTGACCTCAGATGGTCCACCCGCCTCGGCCTCCCAGAGTGCTAGGATTACAGGCGTGAGCCACTGCGCCTGGCCGTCTGTCTGTATCTGTCTCTTTCTCACATTCTCTCTCTCTCTCTCACACGCGCGCACACACACACACACACATTGCATCTGGATAATCAATAGAGCTTGAGAGCTATGCAGTGGGTGCGTTCATGGGACACATTGCTGAAGGCAATTTGCCAAAGCTCCTGGGACCATCTCTCGGAGATGTTCACTAATGTCAAGGACAGACACTTCTCTCCTGGAGAAACAAGGAAAGGGGCCTTGTGTCCCTTTGGTGGCACCAGTTCCACTTCCCTAGTGATCACTTAATTCCACCAGTAAAGATACATTTCACCATCTGTCACCATGTCGACTGTGCCCGGCCACCTTGTAGACTGATATGCGGCACACACAGCAGCATCAGAGCTCAGAGGGTCACAGACTGGTCAAGGGAGGGTGCTAGTGTGCCAGCAGAGAAATGACTTCTTCCAGGTCAAGCCACATTCGGATTGTGGGGAGATGGGGGTTCTAAGAGAGGCTTTTGCTAATTTCCTCCTTGGCCCAGGCTGGGCTACAGCAAGGAGTGTTCCTGTGTGATCTTTTTCAGCTCGAGCCGTCATGCTGTTTGCTCTCATCCCCGTCACAACCATCCGATCAGCTATGTCCAAACTCATAAAGGGCTCCTCTTATGGTGAGTAGTGAAAGGAATCTCTCTGGAATCTTCTGCCCGGGCTGTTTCAGAGCTGCGAAGCATGAGGCACAGACCTGTAGAAGGCACTTGAGGCAGTTCCAGAAGCATCTTTGAAGACACTGGAAACACTGGTTTCCATCCAGGGCACAGAGAGTGGAGACGGGGGTATGGGAGTGACTTAGAAAGTCAGTCACTGAAAAGCCACAAAGAAGGATTCTATCATCCACAGGCCTTGGGAAGATTCAACTAGATAGAGGCAGGATTCCTAGCGAATTGAGCCACACACAGACTGAGAAGGGGCCAGGTGCAGTGGCTCAATGCCTGTAATCCCAGTGCTTTGGGAGGTCGAGGTGAGAGGATCGCTAGAGGCTGGGAGGTCAAGACCAGCCTGGGCAACATAGTGAGACCCCATCTCTACAAAAAAGATTTTAAAATTAGCCGGGCATGGTGGCAAATGCCTGTAGTCCCAGCTACTCGGGAGCTTGAGGCAGGAGGATTGCCTGAGCCCAGGAGTTCAAGGCTGAAGTGAGCCAGGATTGTGGCACTGCACGCCAGCCTGGGCAACAGAGTGAGACTGTCTCTAAAAAGAGAGAGAGAGAAAGAAGGAAGGGTCCCCTAAGAGCTCTCCAGAGACTCAGCTAATGGAGAGTGAGGCAGGCACAGCAAGGCATTCCTGAGTAACCTCTGTCCCTTCCACAGGAAAGGTGTTTGTCATACTGCAGCTGTCCTTGGCTCTGACTGGCGTGGTGACATCGACCTTGTACAACAAGATCTATCAGCTCACCATGGACATGTTTGTGGGCTCCTGCTTTGCTCTCTCCTCCTTTCTCTCCTTCCTGGCCATCATCCCAATTAGGTAGGATGGGAGCAGCGTCTGCTGCTTGGGCTGGGACCCTGATGCTTAGGTCAAGGAATCTTGGACCTTCTCCAGCCCACCATCACCGCATTATTTATTTTCAGCATTTATGCAGTGGGTCCTGAGTAGGCTCTCGCACAAAGAAAAAGTCCTCCTGTTTCCCACACTAAAAATCTGGCCATTTGGGAATTCCTCAAAATCACAAGTAAGAAACAGGGTCATTAGGCACTGGCTCACTCTTTGGCAGTTTTGTAATGACTACTTATACGAGTCCCATATACTTCCTTATAATTAGAGGCTGTGATTGGAAACCTTCATGAACCATCAGACCTCTTTTGTTCAGCTGCCTTTAGGTGAAAGTCATCAGACCTCATTTCAGAGCACAGTTTCTTCCCCATGCCCTCACAGGGCTCTGTGCTCAGTGCCACTGAAATCTCCCGGCCACTGGACTGGACTGTGTGAGCTCCAGACAGGGCCTTCCTTGACTTCCCTGGGGGAATTGTCTCATTTGTAATATCAGAGCACTCAAGTGTTGGAGATAAGAGGCAGGAGGAC